AGCATCCATGAGCATAAGAACCCACAGCAAAGGTCAAATACAATGTATAACTGTTCATCAGAATGACTCTGAACAGTCGCACTTGATCAGTCTGTTGCACAGAGTATCTGTCAGGCCATGGAAGGCCTTGTTTCTGTACAGTTTTTCATGTGGAGCGTTGTCTTTTAGAAAAAGATTTCTCAGGAAGCAGCTGAAAACAACTAGAATGGGAATAGAAAGTCTGTATACAGAAAGAAATAGAGAACTCCTTGTAAAGCTTTTTTTAGATATTCCAGAATGAAGAACCAGAAGTAGCCAGCAGTCCATGTCCTATAAGGCACTATTAGCAATGAGACTTACCCAAGACTCACTCATGTATTTCTTAGAACAGTAATTTAAATATTATCCTGAATGAATGAATTCATCTGAGGGAAACTAGTCTGGTTATTTTCAGTATTTACATGAAAACAAATGCAGGATTTGCTGTTAGAATGTACCTGTGTGTTGGCAGGGTTTCCTCAGCTCCCTGGTTGATAATGTACCATTCTTTCTGGAAGCTGAATTTTCTGCATAGTTCCATGACTAACCTTATTAACATGAAACACTTAATGCTGTATTCTTAATTCCTGACTCTAAGCTGGATGACCAGAAGCTGATGCAAAACCATCTCATTCTCCACCACTGTATTGCACAAATGTCCCTGATCACACTGAAACTGAAATTGGGTTGTACTAGGTGCTGTACTGACGTGAATTAAAAGTCAAACCCTGTTACACAAAGTTACAGTCTGCAGTGATGACTTGTGTGTAGGGTAGGGGGTGTGACTTGAGTGTAAGGTAGTGGCATTATTTCTGTATTAAAGATGAGGAAAGCATATCACAGGCTGATTGCTCAAAATTGTACATAAAGTCTGTGGATGACTCAACAACTGAACCCAAAGCAACTGTCTTTACTGACGACTGCTTTGCATTTCCTGTGGTAAGAGATTATGTGTAATATCTGATGTTAAAACACATCATCTAGACAAGATTTTTTTCTGATATGGATGAGGAAGCTTTTCCATTTAATGCTATCCCTTAGAATAGCGTGTTATGATGAATGAATAGATGTTTTAAGAAAATTAATAGGACAAACACAGACTGATTGTTCAGCTAGTCTGTATGAGGGTCATTTGGAATATTACCTCAGCTACCAACAAGAGTTGTCTGAAGAGCAGCTTCCCACCTCCTCTGTAATCTGAAAACTTCAGAAAAGTATTAATGTTGGCGCAGTGATGATCCCTAATCAGTCCAACTACACCTCTGCAGAGCCTCTTGGGAATAGTAGCTGAGAAGTCTTCATACCTTTATGATCATTTATGTCTCTTCCTTCCTGTGCAGGTTATATATTCTGTGTCATGCAGTATGTTACATGTAGGGAACACTGCTGTGCCTAAAGGGGCCTACAGCTAAGTTTCAAACCTGACTCGTGGTTTGGTTACATACAAAGTATCTAAACCAACGAATTTCAGGGAACACTAAATGAACAAAATCTATAATTTCAAGCTTTCTGATGGAGAAAATGAAGGTGGAGGAATGGATATTTCAGGTTTTTTAATGAGACAGTATTTCAATTGAAGTGTATTAAGCAACTTTCATGCAAGCCTTCCTTAACCAAAATTACTCAACTTGGAATCTTGCAAGAAGTTAGCTCTTCTGTCCAACCAGACCTGAGCCACAAGGTGTCTTTCAGAGTTCAGTAGGATATGCTTTTCCTGTGAAGAAAGCCATGTTAGGGAAGGGGAAAGGCAGGCAGACATACAGACAGATTTATTTCTGGCTAGTTGACATGTCAGCATTACATGTTCTTACTCTGTTTTACACGTGGAGCTGTCATGTCTCTGAATTGCTCCTAGATTAGGGAAACAATAGGGAAGAAAACCACAGTATTTCTCAACTCTGAGAATTAAAGTATAGTTAGTTCCGCAAATGGGCAATTTTCAGACATAGCAGTAGAAACAACAAAATACACTGCCTTTGTCAGTGTTTGAGATACAACTCAGGCTTGAGTTCTAGGTCAGTTATTAGGTTGTGACTGGGTTTTTTGGTGGTTTGTTTTGTTTTGTTTTGTTTTTGGGTGGTTTCATTTGTTTTTTTCAGCGTAAGAAGGAAAAATTAAAAATATAATCCATCCCACCTGAAATCAGAAAGCTGGGACATACTTCCACAAGCTCTGAGCTGGGCCTTTGTAAAGATACACTTGGGTGCTTGCACTGAGATTTGGATCTGCAGCTGTATCTGGCTTCAGTCCACCCAGAGTAGGAAACCTGTACCTCTTCGCTCAGATGATCCTTTGACTGAGAGAGTGCCAGCCTTTCAGGTACATTTGGCTCACAGTGTGGAGGGTTTGTTCTGGAGCAATTCCAAATCTATCCATACAGTAACATGTTCCTGCAATGTTTTGTTTCGTTTTTAGATGGTAGATCCAATAATCACTTCTGTATAGTGAACCAAGAAGATCTCTAGCAACTCTAATCTGGCAGGCTAGGAGCACCTTGTTTTGTTAGCTTTCCTCCTTCATTCCAGAAGACTTGGGAGGGAGGATGGATCTTACGCTCAATGTGAAATGTGAAATCCTGCTGTTTATATTAAAGCAGGCAGTGCATAAACAGAATAAAGTGGGAATCTGTAACCCAGCCTGCTTGAGCCAAGATAGAAAAAAAAAACCTGTATGTACAAGGCATAAAATAAGTACATGGCCCTCAATGGACTTTGCAGTCTTGGAGCAAAGAAAGCAGCTTGTTGCTCCACGCTGCTTCAATAGTCAGTCTGAAACATGTAGTAGTGGGAAGGTGGTTGGGAGCTGTCTGCTCTGCAGCAATGCAGCAAGGCAAAGGCATCCTGAATTTTACTATCTAACATGCCAGGAATCTCCTAGACTTTTCTGCTATCTCTTAGGCTTTGAATCCGCAGTATCCTAGCTCTGTGATGATCAGATAAACTTGTGTATAGGCCTGCTGATTACACGACCTAACTGTGTAAAAAGTATTTTGCTATGTCTTTCATTCACTGAGGATTTGTTGCCTGTCACAGAGGAGCAGGTTTGGAGTAGTCCAGCCATACTGAAACTGGAGAACCACATTCCGCCTTCCACAGTATAGTTGCTGGCCTCTAATGGAAGAGGTGTAAGATTTATGTGGGGATATTAATTTCAACATTTTTATTAATATAGGCTATTTATTTGTGTTTCTATTAGTGCACTAACTTTAATAACACTTTTTTTTTTTTTTTTCCCTTGGAGTAGTATATCATTTGGTACACAAGATTACAGCTTGCAGTAAAATCTACACAGCTTGTTAAAGTAAAAATACTGAGGTTTTTTAAAGTAGATTAATAAGGATGATCATAAGTACATGTGTACACACATCCATAAGTACATACAGACTCAGGAATGTTCTCTTTGTATCTTCATGTAAATCAACAAGAGCTACAGTAGAAAGCCAAGCGAGGAAGTAGAGCATTACCTGCCTTAGGTGTTTGATATAGAATAACTGACTTCAGTGGAATCGTTCTAATTCTTACAGCAGAAGGGAGACCTGCTTGACCGATCAATGAGCCTGTTCTGCCTGGACAGATACTCTGGAGTCTGTTTTGTTGTCCTTTTTTCTTTTCCAGCTCCTCTAGGATGTGGTTGATTCTAAAACGTTGCAGTGTGGCTACAGGGGCAATTATTGTTTGTGTGAAACTGGAGAGAAATGGGTGGTTAAGTCTTTTTCAGATGTAATTAAGTCTGAAATGTCTCAGTGGTTACATTAGAAGCCCTAATTTTAAGCTCTCTTACTGGTTTAGGCCATAGCCATTTGTTACATGAAAAGGAAAAGGGTTTTTTTTTTGTCCTTCAAATGATTTTCTATGGGAATATTAAAAAAAAAAAAAAGTGTTCTCCAAAACATGAAGACAGTAATACCAACTACAGACTCCTTGTCCTACCAAAATAAATTAGTTAAACTCCAAACCATTTTTTTAATGGAAAAAGTATCTAATCATCATTTTTTGTCCATTGGTGAAACAAACCATGCCTGCAAGTTCATCCTATGGGTGACTGTTTCACTATTTGTGTTTCAGAGATGGACTTTTACTGTCAAGTTAGTCATGAAGAAGCTTAAATTTAAATTACACTCAAAAGTGTGTCGTTTCAATATATTTTTCCTTGAAGAAAATGGTTTAAGTCATTTGTTCCTGCATTTTACCTTGCAAGATTTCATGTCTTTATATACATTGATGCAACTCTTCTTGGGTTGTGTGTGTTGCAACCAGTTTTGGTTAAACGATATGGATTTGAAAGTACAAAAACATAATCATGAATATAGATGGGGGAAAAAAACATGGAAGTAGCTCATGTGGAATTGTTGGTAGGAGTATTTTTGTTTTGCTTGTTCCATCAGTGAGAACAAATGTAACACCAGACACAGATTTAGCTTAAATAGATTGAACTGAACTAAAATATCCAGAACTAAAATATCAAAACTTCTGTATTTTGAAGTAGCTGGAGGGGGAGAAGTCTGATTTATGCACTCCCTGCCAGTGACTTTTGGACACCCTGCTTATGTCATGGAAGTTTGCTGGTTCCCATCACAGAACAGATGTTTTGGGCTGTTTCAGCAAAATGCAGAATGTGTATTGAACACATTTAAATGTGACCCACTGCACTGAAAAATTGTTGTGAAGGAATGGCCTTGCACCTGCTGGTCCATTGCAAACAAGAATAGATGTGGGTGGTCAGTGTCTTTGCTTTTCTTGAGGAACCTAGGAGTGTTTGGGGAAATGTATAAGAATCCTTCAGTTTGGAAACCTAAGGGTGAAGAGGCTGTTACTGAGAAATAGAAACTGAGCTCCTCCCTCAGTGTTGGGTACAACAGCTGAACCAGGAGAATGAAAAGTGAAACTATTACTGTCACTTCCGGGATCTCAACAAGGTTGATGATAAGCAGCAATTTGAAGTTTTACCTGAGTTTGAACTCAAAGATGGCTCAACTCCTACGACTTGTTACTCTATTCATCCACCCTCTAGCTTTCTGCTGATGCAGCTATAGCAGCTAATGGCTCAAAACCCAGGAGTCAACAGGTAGTGAAAAGCCTGTCTGCAGACTGCTGTCGCATGCCCACCACTGAAATAGGTATGTCATTTCAAAGTTATTTCAGTTCATGTGAAAACTTATTAACACATATCTTTATTCTTTTTTAGTGTGGTGTTTGAATTCCCAACAAACTAGATAGAGACCTGTTATATTAGCTAGCTTTGAGCCTGGATGGGTTATGCAGATGCTAACTTTGGTGCTACTAAGTGGCCTAATTTGCCCTGCCTTGCAACCTTCACAGAAGTTACCTTCCCCTTATAAGACACTACATGCTGATGTGGGGATACCGAAATGTTCACTCAACACAGGTTCTGGAATTAAGTCTAAACATCATGAACAGAATTGAGTCAATAATGTTCCATCTAATAGAAAGATAGCCCTACAAATGTGTCTAGTCTGTAAAACCCAGTTCTGTAATTTTACAAATATCTCAGAGAGATTAATCACTCAGTCTCCAGGTGATGGTGGCTTCTGTTCCCCTCCTCTGCCCTGGCAAAACCAAATAAACCACTGAATATAGTTCTAAGACAACAGCACTACCAAAAGAATATGGGTGAGATAGCAAGTAAAATGAATGATAAATAACTGGAAAGGTGTAAGGGGCATAATCAATAAATCAGAAGTCAGGAACTGAGTGTATCTAGAAAACCAGCCCTGAGGTTTATTCATTTCCAGAGCATTCTGCACTCCTTTGCTGTTGTCTCTCCCGTAGTTCCCTGCTGTTCTCTCATACAGTTCCTCAAAGCCTCTGACAGGTTTGAGTGACAGGACAGGGTGTGGAGCGCTTTGCTTTGTTTTCCCCCCATACCATATCCATAGTGTTAACTTCCTAAATTTGGTGCAATAGAAGCAAACACTTAATGGAACGGAAGTTTAAGAAATGAGTGATTTTTTTTTTATTAGGAACTAGACTGTTTGATTTCAAGAAAAATTATTATTTGTTTTTTTTTCTGGAAATCTTCCTACAAATGTCTTTCATCAGATTACTGAATGAGCATCCACTCAGCTGATAAGTCAAATTAAAGGCATGTCATCCATGTAACCTCTAGAACCTGAGACAAAGGCATATCTAGCTGTTGAGAGCGCTTAGATGACAAAGGCCTGAAGAATCTAGGAGCCAGATATACTAACATTCATTCAGGTGTCTTCCCCTTTCCACCAGCACAAGGCTTTTTGAAAAAAAACAGCAAAGCAAAGGAAGCCAACTAAGGTGAAGCCAGAAGAGAAGCTGTTGAAGCTTTTCAGAAAACAACCCTTTGATACTGCTGACATCCTTGAGTTGCTTTCTGAAGCTTTCTTGCTGATCTCCATCTTATTTGAGCTGTTTGGTCTTTGCTCTCTCACTTCAAACCTTTGTTTAGCTAATGTACTTTGACATGGTTTCCCAGAAAGGATGTAATCCTAAAAATAAAAAATACTTGAAGCATGTGGGCACTATCGCATTGGTAGAGATCTGCTTGTCTTCTGTCCCTTCCCCAGCCTGCGTCTGTTCTGCCTGCTTAGGTGGGACACTACTCATAGAGCACCTTGCAGTGACCCGTGTTGGTTTTGGGGTTTTGGACCTTCTCTAAAAACAGTGCTCCAAATGATTAAGTGGGAGGGGGTAGGATGCAGAGGAGAAGCAAATTGAAACTTTCATTTCTCTGTTTTCTTGCAGGTTTTGGGGTGTGAATTGATGATGATGTGGAGCAGTAATGCAGGAAAGGGAGAGGACAGAGCAAGGGAATTGTGGTCTTCAGAGCAAGCAAGAGAGGAAACAGAACAGTAGGAGAAAAAGGACAACATCTTAGATACAGCAGTTAGAATATGCAGATTAGTGTTGGAAGCATCCTCAGTGTGCCCAGAAAAGGGAGAAACAGGTATTTATGCCAAACACAGTCTGTTTGGCAAAAATCATCTTTGAGCCCAGCTCACTTATATTGTTTGATATCTTGTCTTCTAGTCACTGGAGATAGGTCATGACATTCTTGGGAGAGCAACTTGCATTGGATGTTCAACTTTCAACACAGTAGGGGAAGCCTTAGTAGCACTGGGAATAGTTAAATAGATGCAGTTTTCTTCTAGGAGTGGAATTCATTCAGCTTCTCACCCAGGAAATGTTCATTTATGCTGTTTGCTCAGGCAGGCACCTCCTGAGGGCACAGTTTCAGCTGACCCATTAACCAATCACATGCCATTCTCTGACAGCACTTGTTCTTTATCAGCCCATTAAGCATGGGCTTTCAGCCAGTGAAAACATCAGATATTTGGCAAAGCATTTATAATTAGTAAGTGTTGTGGCAGAATAATGGAATCTGAGGTCTCAGAAACCATCAAGTGTGTCCTTTTCCAGCTGATAATCCCATGGAGACAACAAAATGGAAAGTGAAGAATACCAAATTGAAGGTGGCAGTATGCAGTGTTTGGATTTACTGCAGAGTATCTTGCAGCAATCCAGACACTCTCCAGAGTTCAATACTCAGTGCCTGAAGACCCTACAGAGAAAAATATTTTCTCCCCCCCCACCTTGCCTGTGTTTTACAGGCATTACCGTTCCATTTTTGCCTGTATCATTTGTTCCTCATTTGTTCCTGTCCTGTTCAGAAAGCTTTTAATGTTTTGACAGGAGATGCACTTAGGGAACACGTTTTCATAATCTTGAAATAGTTTGATATTGAGGATATGGTCACATTGTCAGGAGGGGAGGCAGGGAGAGGCTTGAAGTATTCTTTCTCTAGGTGTGGCTGTGCAGATTTCCACTCAGTCTCACTGTTTATAAAGTGGGAATTTCCTTCATTTGTTTTGGTTGATCTAGGATCTTTCTGTCCAGCTATCAGCTGCTTTCTGCTCTCAGGCATGGGATATCAAGACATGACCACTTTCTGTCAACCACATTTGTGTTTTTCACTCTCTTGGCATGCATTTGACAAGCTTGCTTTGGCATCCTCCATGTCTTGCAGCCTGTTTCCTGAGAACTGGCTTCCAAGCTTTTGACATTCTCTGGCTAGATGTCATCTTTGCATAGCAGAAATTCTTCTCTCTTCACATCACTGTTCATTTGGTATTAAGAGCTAGCCTGTACAGCTCAGATGAAAAGCTCTTCTGCACTCAACTTGGAGAGTCTGAAGACAGAATATTCCCGTGGTTCAGTCCATTAAGGCAGTGCTACCCCTGTTGACCCAAATGGGTTGTCAGTGTTTGAGGTCTGGTTTATTTTATACTTTTTCTAGAAGGGTGCAAATAACTGAGGAAAGGACTTTGTGAACTTGTTCAGAGGTTCAGTATCTCCATTCTGTGAATAAAGAATCAAGTGACAGCAACATGATTCCACATCAGCTTCAGCTGGTTTGCTGTGGGTCCTGGCAGCTCTTTCTCCCTGGTGTCCACTGTACAGCCCTGCCTGTCCTCTCCTTTGCATTTATAATATTGCTCCCGTGACTGTGGTGAGGGTGGTAAACTGCCTGAAGTCTAGATGGAAGAAAGAAAAACAATCCAAAATAATTTATTTCTCCTTACTTTGCCAGAACTTTTTGTTATAGAGCCACATGAACTTTACTGCTGGCACAAGAGAGAGATGGGGAGGGAAGGACAGGCACAGGATGACAGCATCTTGTCTGAGATTCACTTAAACTTCTGTGAAATCTTACTCAAAGCTCTCAGTATGTCCCAGGACCTGGATGCCATGCACGTGCTTTCTCTGAGCTACAGTCTTAACTACTGCTGCATTCTGCTACCTTCTTATGTCTATAATGAAACCTATTGTTCATTTTATGACTACTGCATCGGTATCCAGTTTAAAGGAAGCCCTTCAGAGATGTGATTTATTCTTTGTCAGGACGTGGTATGTGCACCAGTACTACGGGTTGCAGCCTCCTTTTGTTTTTATCTATCATACAAATATTTGCATACAAAGGGACAGGATTAGTTCTGTTCTTAGTCTGAAGTATTGACTGAAAGGTGCTGAGCAGATCTGTGGGATTTGCACTGGCTAGGGATCAAAACTGTACTTGCAAGGAGTCCTTAATGGCATGATAACTGTATCCTTCCCATTTAAAACAAGGGGTCAGATGATATGAAACAGATTTCTTCTAAATGCCCAGAAGAGGGTAAGGGGAGGGAAGGGGGAAAGGAGATAAATAGAATGCCTTAGTTTTGTGTCGCTGTCAGAGCCAGCAGAGTGTATACTCTTCTGCTTTTTGTTTTGGTTCAGTTTGTTCTTTGGAGCATGATAGACAGTCTAGAGAATGAAGATACTGGCTCAGCAGATACAGGGTATGAGGTCCAGGGGCTCAGTTCCAAGGGCAAAAATTATAATTTCTCAAATGTTTATTTCTGCACTAACGCAACAGGCATGACTGGGCTGTGCAGTTACATTTAAGCTTTTCCCTCTGAAGTCTGGGCAGTGTATCCAACTGTGTATTGCCCTCAGAATCCAGGCCCAGTGCATCTGAAGCATGATGAGATACAGAGCACCCCGGGCTATGCTGCAACAGTGGCAGCAGCAAAGTTGGAGTGATCACTGGAGGGCATATCTGGCAGGTCATACGAATATTTTGCAAAACTTTAAATGCATGAGTGGCAGCACAGGCTGAGTACAGCTATATCAGAGTAATGCAAGTGCTGTGATTGTAGGCCAGGGTTTTACTATTGTGCCCATAAACTGCACTTAGTGGGTTTTTTTGTTACAAACAGGGTGAAGTTGTTCTCCCTGGTAAGTATTTGGCCCAGTTCTAGATGTTAGAGTAACTTTCCACAAAGCAAGCCCAGTTGTGATTTGTAGTGCTGTTTTATTTTCAGGACTTGTAGAAGATGGGCATTAGCACACTCGATGGTAAGGCATCATTGGGCAAGAAAGAATTGCAGGGGCTTTTTTTAGCAGGGTAATTTCAGTACTGGCTGCTGCTGTAGCCTGAATCTGATTAAGCCAGCAGAAGACTAGGCTTATTCATTTTCCTTGCCAAGCTTGTAACTATACCACTTTAACCTTGATATAACCAACAGCCATGCCACGGGGGTGCAGCTCTAGTGATAAACCTCCTTTTATGCAGTCTGGATATTAA